TCAGAGATTCCCGCCATCACTTTCTTGGCAGAGGGGCGTGTAGGGGCTACACGATTGCGCAACTCGCTCACACTAACCACCTCAACGTCTCCGTTGTCGTACACTACCTGAAACACGTGGGACCTTCCCCTGCGGCCAGCATACGATGCTACACCCAGCGACCGGGTGGTGCGACGCCCTCTTCCCTTAGACTCTCTCATAACAGCCACACCTTGGAGGTCGCGCAGGTACTTGGGTGGCTCGGGAGCTGCACCCCGCGCAGGTTCGGACGACTTCCCTTCCAAAGCTTCAGCACTAACTCCTTTCGACTCACACTTTGGGCAAATCCATGCGCCCTCAGGTATCTCCTTCAAAGGCGGCTTAAGACAATAAGTGTGCCAACCAGTGCCGCACGCATCACATAACAACATCCATTCTTCACCATCAGGAAATCTGCACACCTCACAGGGATGCCCTGGAGATGGCCTAGCCAGTCGCGGGTCGACCACTTGATCATCGATGGGCAAATGACAGGGCGCACAGTGACTGACATGGGCAGTAAGCGTGCTGCCACAGCGACCCTCTAGCACCAACACCCCGGAGGGCCTCACCTCAGTAACCCGCAGAATATCCGGCTTGGCATGAGGATCCAAGCTGGCGCGAGCGGAGGTATTCCGATAATACACGTAGTCACCCATCTCAAAACGACGCAAACGCGGCAAAACGGCTCCGCCCCTCATGTGCGCATAACGAAGAGTGTCACGATGCTGCGCAATGAGTAGGTTGCCGCCCGCCACGGCCATATGTCGACGAAGCGCGGCAGCACGTTGCATAATAGACCTTGCCGCCGCCTCTGGGTCATCCAAACTCACGTCCCTTTCGAAACGCTGCTTAATCGCCGGTGGAATGGTGGGCTCCACGGCGTGCATGACGTGGTACGGCGTAACACGCGATGCTGACTGCACGGAGCAGTTGTAGCCCAGCATGACGTACGGCAGATGCTTGTCCCACTCTTCAACTCCACCGCCAGCATGTGCAATGCGCCGGAGCGCGTTTTTGCAAGTCTGAACAGCACGCTCTGCCAGTCCGTTGGCTTGCGGGTGGTTCGCTGAGGTCTGACGATGATCTATCAACGAATCAATCAACAATTGCGCAAACTCAGCTTTCCACTCACTGCCCTGATCTGTACATACCTCAGCACAGGCCCCATAACGGCCCAAA